ATTACTGCTACAAGCATTATATTGTTCCCATTGATATTCACAAAAAGTTCCACTTGTACCATAAGGACAGCTACAATAAGATGTATTACCATATGCAACACAGGAACCACCGTTGAGACACGAGGAATTTAAACAAGAGTTAGATGCTGAAGAGTTAAATACTGATGCCGTTGCATAGAATTCACAATTGTGTCCAGCTGTTCCCTCGAGACATATACAATAGTAAGTACCATTGGTGGGAATGCATGATCCATAGTTCATACATGGCATAGTCCCGCAAGGATTAGAGTGTAGTAACTTTTGTTCGCAGAAAATTCCGCTAGTGCCTTCAGGACACATACAATAAGTGATGTTTCCATACGAATAACAGCTACCATTATTAACACATGGCGAGTAGTAACATGGATCTGATACTGACAGTGTTTGATTGATTCGAAGATGGTATCCTGTTGTGCCTGAAAGAGGCATGTACATTTATAGATAGCAATGTAAGAAATGCATTTTTTGTTATTCATATAAAAAAGCATGTAAATCTTACCTTCTTGATATTGCCGATCAACATTCGTTGCATCAACAAATGCATACGTAGTAGTGATTGTGACTAGTCCAATAGCTATCACTAATAGAGCGTACTGAAGATTCATATTGTTTGAAGTATGCTAGAATGTGAAATGGTACTGACTATTTTATCAACACGAAATTATATAGTTGAGAAAAAAAACCGATTTACGATACTTGAGAAAGGATTAAGATGTTTTTTCAACGATTATAATCGTTTTTGAAATCAATTTTCGACGATTAGTGAATAATGGCTTTTAATTTTTTTTTTCTATCTGATATTTGATTCTAATCGACTTCTTTCTTTAATTATATTTTACTCTTTTTCTTTAGATAGCTGAGAAAAAATGATGGAAAAAGACTACTGCTTGTTTAATCTTGATGTTTCAATAATTTCATTATAAAAGTTAATAGGCAGTTTCTGCTTTTATGAAAACATTGCTTCATAATCAACTTTTCAAAAATTTCGTCATATTTAGTTATTCGATCGATCAACCAATAGAAACAATAGTGCTCTTCGAAATCGGATACTTGTTCTTAAAGATTTCATTGAAAGTGTTTTTATTTTTATCTCTACAAAAAACCATCTGCAGCAATGTGAAATTAGTGTTTTTAACAGTATGCATTTACTAAATCGATAGTTTTATTTTTTTTTAAAAACTGTAACTTCGAATACATGCGAATATGTTTTTTTTTCTGTCTAAAATATATTGTTCAAAAAAGTTCAAGTGTATCATAGAATAAACGTTAGCTTTCTTCTTTCAGTTATTGATGATCAAATATTAAATAAATATCAATAATAGAAAATGATAATAATCTGTTTATTTCTCATTAGTCATGTTTGACCTAACGCCTAATAATCGAAAAATTGATTCTTTCATTTCATGGTATTTATGTAATATGATATGCATTGGAAGGGTATTTTGCATTACATAAATGTGGCACGACATCATCGAATCTCTTTATTTTTCAGTATTTTTTCAAATTGTCATGAATGCAGTTTGCACTTTAACTTTTTTCTGACATCATATATTGAAAATAATTATATTTTTCACTTTTTTTTTTTGAGCTAAAACAATCATAAAGAAAGTAGAAAGTTATCAAAACTGTCCGTCGATAAATAAATCAATAGTAAATGGGATTGGACTAAACGGATATAATTGTACTTTTTCATGTGTCTGGTAGAAGCTTTATAATATTTAATATTGATGATATAATAAAAATCGCGAATCTCAATTGAACCAAATATTTTTGAATTTGACAGAAATTTCGAGTCATTTGGTTTTTTTTGGACTTTAAACAAAAACAAATTTGAAATCTATTTCATTATTAATTGTAATATTGATCGATTAAGGTTCAATTCATTTTGTATATATGCATAAGCTTGTTAGCAAAAAATCTTGAATTGATAACTAAAATTTAAAAAACAAATTCAAGAAAATACTTTATGTGATCTATTTATCAGTTCATTTCAGTATTATTTTTCATTCCTTATTTTAAAAATTGTACAAATTGTATTTATACTATCGAAGATTCTATTTTAAAAATGTATTAATATGTCAAAGAAGATTAAATCCAAAATAGGAAATATTTATTTTTATTTAATTTTAAGATATTTTTGAATAACAATGATAGTTTAAGTTGACTAGTAAAATAAAAGTTTTGCTCGATCATTTAATCTATCGATACAACAGAAGTTTCTCCTATTCTATCAAATTGATTTGAATATATCACAGACATTAATATAATTATCATATATAATACCAAAGCTATTCATGTTATTAATTTACTCTTCCACAGAAATTATTTTAAAAAATTCCTTTTGAATGTAAAAAAAAAAAAATTCAACTATAATATGTTTTCTCAATTTACGAAGCTATGAATGGCATGATTTTGATGTATATAAAAATACATAGAAGATTAGTATATCTAATCACATACATCTCTATAATATGATATGAAATCAAAGAATACGTAATATTATCTTTAAAAATTGAAATAAACGGAACTGATTTCGAATATTTCAAATGAATAATAAATTTCTCGAATGATTTTTATATGATATATCATCTTAAAATTTACTATTGAGTGTTTTTGATTTAGTATAAAATTTAGTCAAGATTAACATAATCTGAATGTCTCATTTAAATGAATGATAATCGAACAAAAAGAAACATGACTTTGACAAATTAATAGATTAAACTACATTTGTAAAACATTGAAAAACAATTCATATCGTTAAACTTTTGTAAAATTTTTATGCGATAATAAGATAATCTTTATTGATATATGATATCAAAATAGTTTAGATATGAATGATCGATAATTTGAGTGTGAATGTAGATCTTCTCTTCATCCACACCGTTCAAGAAAAAAGAAACCGAGAATCGAATCGAAACCAATGTTTTTTAAATTTCTTGGAACCAGAACCATGGAAAAGAACACTTGAACCGTTTAATCATTAGATAAATACACAAATTCTTAAATCTATGTAGAGAAATCTTTATTTTTTCATCAACAATTTAATAGTAATACTTTCTCAAAATATATTTAAAATTTTCGTATCTATCTGATGATTTAACGATTTCGATTCCACATGATATTTTGGGAACCAAACTGAAACCACCGAATTCTAACACCCACATTCACACAGTAGTCACACCTACACTGTCAAGAAAAGAAAAGTGAAAAATTAGCATTAGACTATATGCATCTCCATGTTTCTTGCATTACCAAAATACTATATTTTGCATACAGAAAGAAATAAAAAGAAATTTTCTCTATCAGAAATTTCTCGTTCGAAGAACCAAAACAAATGTTCGTTCTTATTAAATTGACAAGTATTTATGCATCTAACTATACTTTACAAATAGACATGAGCAAGAGTACTCGTTTTGATATCGATCTCGGTGAAAGAATAAAAGATTCAGTTCTAATACTTGGTTTTGTAAAAGTTTTGTTTGAATACAGCTCAACGAAGTTTTTTACTACTATCTATAGGTTTCAAACATCTTTGTTTTTTTTTTACTATACTGCGACCTATTTAGACAGTCGTATACTCATTGATAAATGTTCAATTAGGGATTAACAAGAGCAATCGTCTCAATTTTGATGTTTCACATAAAAACATTTTATATTTGATCATGTCAAAACATAAATCGAGACCAGTTTGCTGGTGTCTATTTAGAGCTATATATTAAGATGAAAGGAAAAATGCTACATTTCTACCAACTCATAGTCTCTAGAGAGTAGCTATCATTATTTAATGCGCAAACAGATGATTAAATGTAGACATATCTCACTATTGCACATCTCTCATAAATCATACAAATATGAACAGTCAAGCTAAACTATCGGATGCTCTCTCCAACAATCTCATAATTAAATACAGAAAAATGGTCTCAGTCTTAATCCTGACGATAAAAACTTTTTTTTCATCAAGATCGTCACTTAGATAACTGCTTCTGTAGGTTTCTAATTGAACATTAAATAAAGAGAATATTCACCGATAAATAGATTATAATAGAGTAGTAGTAACATATTCGAAATTTATAGACAATAGTAAAGAATTATTTTCAGCTCTATGCTAATAAAACATTTTCTAAGTTTGTTACTAAATCTTTTTTTTTTTGTTCAAATCTGAGATCAAAACAAACCTTCTCTCGCTAATATCTAGTCATAACAGTTCACGTTGATTATGTTGATAATTACTACTAAACATAATTAATGAAAGAAAATATATCTAAATTATTCTATCATTGTATGATGTTGAACAAGTCTATGCCAAAATAAATCGTTTTTTTTTTCTCATTCTATTGAATTTATAATCAATATAATTATAATTACTATCTTTTATTTTTCAATCATCATTAATAGTTTGTAATTAAATTCCATATAACTATCTACTTATTTGGAATGTTACTATTCAAAAAAGATCTTTCTTTTTTTTTTTACATAAACATCAAATATATTGCATATATAATGCAGAAAATATTTATTTTAGATCATTTTCAAACACCAGACAAAAAATAAATGATTGATATATGTCTTTTATTTCTTCTGTCTGATTAATAATATTCTTCGATTATTTCAATGGACATCTTGTTGGAGTCATTACACCATTACATATGCAAGCATATGCATTTTGACTAACACCAGTATTTACACAATATCCAGGTGCACAGTTTAATGGACAATCTTTAATAAAAGATAATATTAAAATTAAGAAACAAAAAAAAACAAACAAAATCTTACTGGATACTGATGGTGCATTAACTATTTCGCAGTTTTTACCAGTATAACGACCATTTGGTCCACAATAGCAAAAGTATGAATTACCAGAATCAAAACAAGTACCTCCATTTTGACAGGGTTGGCTCGTACACCTAATTGTAGCTATAAAAATTATTAAAATAACAATAGTAGTTATATTAAATAAGAAAAAAAACGAAACAACATACAGATTGCAGGTGTCGTTGTTATACGAGGCACTTCACATAGGCTACCTGTAAATTGTGATTTGCAAACACACACATAGCTATTACCATGTCGAAAGCAGGCACCCTCATTGTAACATGGATTCGGATTGCAAGGATTGACATCTTTGAAAACAAAATTATTTTAACAAAAAAATGAATTCATTTCAAATGAAAAAAAAAGAATTTACTAGGTAGTGTAGTTGGAGCTGGTGTTGTCATTGAACTTGATATACTACATGTTGGACCTGACCATTCTTGCTTACATGAACATACAAAAGTATTACCAATATTGAAACATGAGCCACC